CTGCCACGCCACACACAGCAGCGAACAAGAGCCCAGCCAGCAAGGGCTCACCTATGCAGTGAAATGAGTAGGTGGCCTTTATTATGAAAAAAAGAACACTTGGAACAGGATGAAGCGGCTCAGGAGAGAGGCAGGAGAGAGGCAGGTGGGAGTTAGCTTCGGGGCAGAGCAGGCTGTCGAGCTCCGCTCCGAGCCTCCCTGCCGCTTGTGAGCTGTGTGACTTCGGTCCGCTGAAAACCGACTGAAGCTTCAGTCACGTGCAGGCTGGGTTTCGAGTGCTTTGTGGAGGCTGGTGCTCGGTGGCACAGGTGAGGGGCGTGCAGACACCTGGCTGCCCGGCGGCGGAGACGGGGCTTGCGCCCCGCCGGTCGCCTCGGCCCTGTGAGCTCCAGACTCCAGGCTTCCCGAGCTGAGGCCTCCGTAGGGCGGGCCTCAGAGAGGGCCGGGGCAACGTGGTGGCGCCTTGGTTCCTCCCGGCTCCCCGCCACGGCCCCTTCTCAAGCGGAGTGGACCTGTGCGGTCCAGGTGACGGGCGGACCGGCCTGTCTGGCCCGAGGCCTCAGCGCTCTGTTCCCGCCTAGCTCCGTGCACCTGTGCAACAACTCCATCCAGAAGCACCTGGAGAACTCGCGCCACCGACACCCGCTGCTGCCTGCAGACAACATGTGGTCGAGCCAGAGGTTCCAGGCCCACCTGCAGGAGATGGGGGCCCCGGACGCCTGGGCCACTGTCATGGAGCCGGGCATGAAGGCGGCCGTGATCCACGCCCTGCAGACCTCCCAGGACACCGTGCAGTCCCGCAAGGCCAGCTTCGAGCTCTACGGCGCCGACTTCGTGTTCGGGGAGGACTTCCGGCCCTGGCTGATCGAGATCAACTCCAGCCCCACCATGGCGCCCTCCACGGCCGTCACCGCCCGCCTCTGCGCCGGCGTGCAGGCCGACACGCTGCGCGTGGTCATCGACCGGCGGCTGGACCGCAACTGTGACACGGGGGCCTTTGAGCTCATCTACAAGCAGGTGAGGCAGCGGCCGGGCACACCCCGGGGCGGCCCCTCTTGGGGAGCGCCTCCCCGCCGCGCAGGCGCTCTGGGCTCGGACAGCAGGTGCAGGCCGGTCCTGCCTCGCGCTCGGTCCAGACACCGTGCCTCCTCGGGGCTCTGCTTGCTCAGTGGGGGGGAGCAGAGGCTCTCGCTGTCCCCCGGGAGTCGGGAGGGGGCGGGGAGCGGGCATCTGCGGCCGGTATTTGCAGAGAGGCCTGCGACAGCATCACAGAGACGCCAGAGCCTCCCTGCTCGCTGAGAGTTTGGGACGAGGCTTCTCCCCACGGGGGTCTCAGGTTCCTCGTTGGAAAGTGGGACTGAAGCTGGTCCCTGCTTTATAAGGTGGTGACAAGTGAGTGACTTGCCATAGGTGAGCACTTCAGTCACACTTCCAGGGAGTGAAGCGCCCACGGCTCAGCTGTGGCCGGTACCCTGAGGCTGCCAGGCGTTCCGTGGTTAACAGCCTCCCCTCGGAGTGCCAGCCCCTGGGAGCTGCTGCCAGCGTCATCGTTATATTTGTCTTATAATTATTTTACTCACCGTGTTCCCAAAGAGATGAATCCATTTATGGAATGGAATGGGATTCAAAAAACTATTAGTCAGAAGACCAAGGTCGTGTTTCTAAGAAATATTTCCCTGGTAGTGGAATTAGGCGGCTTCCGACGGGGGTTCGGCCCCAGGGAGGGAAGGTGCTGATCACATGACCCGGGTGTCCTGGCCTTTGTCATGGTCACTGGTGATGTTTTTATTTTATTTATTTTAACTACATATATATTAAGATTTATTTATTTATGCATACAGAACTGGGGTACAGGCCAGAGGAGTGTGGGGTGAACGGAGTGGGGGGCAGACCAGGCAGAGGGAGTGAAGCACACTGCTGAGGGCGCAGCCAGAGGGTCAGCAGGGGTCTCCACAGGTCAGCTCCCTGGCGGGGATCAAACTCGTGCCGAAGCGGCTGCGCTTCAGCCTGCTGTGCTTTAACCTGTCGCGCCACCGGGGAGGGCCCTGGTTGTGTCTTAGCACATGGGCATTTTGGCTTCAAAAAGTAGAAATGAGACAAGGGCAGGCAAGCCCGGGGCAGCCCTGACCTGAGTCCTGCCGCTGGTTCAGGCCAGAGTCGCCTGGAAGCTCTCCAGAGACACGGTGTCGGCGGCCGGTCCTCGGGCCCAGACGTCTGCTCAGGCTGCTGTTTGCAAATGCCCCTGCGGCCCCGAGCGGGTTAAGCCCGGTAGTCAGGGTTCAGCTGGACAGTCCGTCTCCAGTCCCTCTTCATCCGGAACATCACACTTGATTCTCCTGTAGTTCAGCCTGCGGCTTTGTAGACCTGCCCCACATTCCGGGTTTATCTGATGGCTTCCTCGGGTGTGGTGTAGCGTCTCTGTTGTCTGAATGTCCTGGAGTGAGAAGCTGGTCGGCAGCTTGATGAGCCTCAGGTTAAACATATTCGGAAGAACATTTGCCCGGGTTGTTCAGCACCTGCTTAAAGCCAGAGCCCCCGTGCCTGTGGCGTGTCCCGGGAGTGAGGCTGGGCGGCCCTGATCGGATTGGGGTGGGCTGTGACCTCCCCTTTGTCTCAGTCCCCGCTGTGAGGGAGGGTTTGGCTGTGCGCAAGTGACACAGATTTTCCTGTCGTCCTTGCCCTGACTGTCTTTGAGACTCAGTTTTTATTTTGGGCTGCAGCATGGCACATTTCTAATTCTGTCATCCCTTCTAATTTATCCGCCAAAATCCTGCCGTAAGGATGAGCTCGCCATCACCTGGGCTTGCTGGGCGCCCGCCTGCCTGTGTTCACCTCACCCGGGGGCGCCTGAGATGGGGTCTCGTGGGGACCCGCAGATGGAAGCCCAGCTCATGCTAGACGGAGGCTCGCTAGCAGGGCGGCCGCCGGCCTGGGGTGCGCTTCCTGGCACCGGCGGTGTCCGGCTGGGCTTGCTAGGAAGTGGGGAGCAGAGCAGCCCCTCCTGGGACCGCCCTGCCGCTTAGGGCTCCCTGTCTCTGCCCTCCCAGCCCGGGGTGCACTGGCGGCTCTAGGCAGACGCCAGGCCTCTCCCGTGGCTGTCAGAGTTTCTCTCAGCCTGGCTCAGCTCCGGTTTGTCCTTGGTCAAACCCCGCACATTCCAGTGGGGGTGGGGGGCGCCCATGGGGTAGGAAAGGCCCCCGCCCCATCCCTAGCCCGAGGCTTGGGGATGCTCTGGGTACTGACTGGGGTTCCCAGGGCCAGATCCCGTAGGTGACAGAGGGCGGCGTCCCGTTCCTCAGCCTCCAAATGCCTCCCGGCCAGGGGCTCCCGAAAGTCACCCCTCCCCTGCCTGCGTCTTCTTGCACTCAGGGTTCCTGAACCCCGGCTGAGCGGCCTCGTCTCTCTTCTCCGCAGCCGCCCGTGGAGGTGCCCCAGTACGTGGGGACCCAGCTGCTAGTCCAGGGCTCCCCGATCAAGAAGCCCTTGGCGCAGTGCCACCGGCGGCTGGGGGTGCCCCCAGGTCTCCCTCGCCTGCTGTCCCAGCACAGCTCTGGGGAAGGCAAGGACTGGGGGACCCTGGCCCACAGGTCAGCTCCTAGAAGACTTGCGGGGGCCAGGAGCCTGGGGCCCACTGAGAAGCCATCCACTGCCACCGCGCCAGCCCCCGGACAGGGAAAGAAAGGCAAGGCGGACGGCACCGCAGCCCCGGTCCACCCCGGGCCCCAGCAGTGGGCCCCCCCGGCCAGGGCGGCCTGCGTCTTCACCGTGGCCTTTGCTAGCGGGGTCAGGCAGCCCCAGCCCTCCCTCAGGTTGCCACTGAGTCCGAAGGACCCCCGGGCCCTGGCTAGGGCCGCCCCACCCCCGCCGCCCAGGACCCCTAGGCAATGTCTTCCCGCTCTGCGAGCCCCTCTCCACCAGCTGGACTCGCCCCCCCACCAGAGAGCCGCCAGGAGCAAGTAAAACCACCAATTACAAAGTATTTTTTAGAAATACAGCGAGCGAGTACACTCCCGCGAGCAGCCGCCCGCAGCTGCCCGACGTCCCAGGCGCCAGGTGGGGTCTCTCCCGGCCAGCTTTCCGCCCACAGTATCGGCCTCCAGGCGTGCCACCCCCGGGGAGCGGAGCTAACTGTGCAGGCGTAAGAGCGCCCTGCACGGCCTTGCCACCCTGTAGCTCACAGCGCGGTAGCAAGGTGGGTGCCCTTATCCCCGTTTTGCAGCCGAGGTGTCAGGAAGTGTCAGGAAGTTGCCCGAGGTTGCACAGCTCAGAAGGGGCAGAACTGGGGTGCAGGCCCAGGTCTGTTGGACTCCAACCCCTGCTCTCCCCGCCGCCTCAGGAGGAACCGGGAGGGCCCGTCTGCCCCGCCCGCCCCCGCGCCCGCCCCCCCACCCCTGGCTCCCACCCGCCACACACAACTTGAGGGGCAGCGTGGGCCCTCCCCGGCCCTCAGAGCGCCTCTCTCTCCCACAGCGCCGCCCCCCCTCCCCCGTGTCTGCGCCAAAGCCCAGCTGCCTTCTCCCCTTGTGCTCCCGCCGCCGGGCCTGGGCCTCGGCCTCCGACGGCCGAGCTGCAAACTGGTGGGCTCTGGGGCCCCGGCGGCCGCAGGCCAGGCCCTGATGACGTTACCCACCGCCAAGGTTTTGATTTCCTTCCCACCCAACCCTGACCTCAAACGGGCCCCCCGCATCCTGGAGCCGGGAAAGGTGTGCTGCAGACTGACGCGCCAGTCCTGGGTAGGGCTGGAGGGCACCCGCGGCGGGCAGCTCCCCGGAGCCCCAAGGGAAGGGCTGACTCCCCAGGAAGCCCCTGCCCGGCAGGTTCCCTGACCGTCTCTCCCCTCCTCCCCCCTTCCGCACTGAGGCCCCGGTTCCCCGGCCTCTTCCGGCTTCGGGTCCTGGAAGCACCTCGTGGCCTCCACACTGTGAAGTCGGGAGTCTCCCTGGGAAGCTCAAGGCCAGAGGCAAGCCCAAGGCCGCGCTCTGTGACAAGCCCGAGGCCCAGGCGTGCCTCCTGAGGACGCTGAGCTTGCTGGCGCCCGCCGCCCCCCGTGAGCGGGCACCACGGGCCGGGGGGCCCTCGCCCGCCCTCCCCGCCCCCTTCTGGCGTCAGAGCCAAATAAAAAGCAGCAAGTGAAGCTTTCTGGACTTGGGCCCCTACGTGTGGGAGGCAGGCCGGGGCGGGGCGCCTGGACCCCAAGGTCACCCGCAAATGCTCCACAAAGCAAGGCCCAGAGTTCCCACCCGGCTGCCGACTCCGGAACCGCTGGTCCTGGGGTGCGGGCGCGCATGGTGGGGCGAGCCTGAGTCAGATGAGGGCGCTGAGTGGGGAGGGGCCCCGCGGCCGTGAGCCCGGCCGGGCCCCGTCCGGAGCCGCTCGGCCCTGGGAGGCCCAGGCCAGCCGAGGGGCTGGCAGCGGCAGGAGCGATCACGGGAGACTGACGTGAGGTCCTCGCGTGGCCGTGACAAGCGGCCGTGGAAGTCAGAAGCCAAGACACAGACACGAGGCCCGAGCAGACGAGTGCGGCGTGGCCGCCAGCGGGCGCCCGGGGCCCCAGAAGCTGCAGGGCAGGAACGAGGCTCCCTGGGGCTCTGGCAGCACCCGCACAGCCGCCAACACTTTGGTCTTGGACTTGCGAGCCCCAGCGCCGAGCGGGGATCCAGCCGGCTTCGAGACGCGGTGTGGCCCTCTGGGCGCCCAGGAGACCCCCGCGCGCGGGCCGGGCCTGCTGCCTACCTGCGCGGCCACCAGTGGGGTGACGGGGAGCTGCAGCCTGGAACCGGGCGCCGTGGCCCACCCACACGGGTGCCCAGCAGCGCAGGGCCGCGCTCGGGCGTTTCCACAGCAGGCGCCCGCTCGGGCCGGGCAGCCCGTCCGGGGCGCGTGCCTGCAAGACGAGGGGCGCTCCCGGCTAGGGTGTGCTTTCCGCTTTCCCACCCAGAGGTGACAGCGGGGCCCCAAGCGGGGCCCTTAGGAAGGTTTCATGCCGGGTGTCCCCCCGGGACCACAACACCAGTATCTTTGGGGCACAGAACTGGGGGGACGTCGGGAGTTTCTCAGCTTTCTGCGGGGGCATGGTGGAAGGTTCTAGAGTGGGGCCAGGGTTAAGAACCGCTACTCTGTCAGAAAGGAGATGTGTCTGTGACGCTGTGAAATGGTCTTCAGGCGCAGCTTGATACAGACGTCTGATACATTTCAGCTTCTAGAACAATCTCCCGTTTGAGCCTGTGAGGAGTCTGGTGGGGAGGAGAGCGCTGGGGCCCGGGGCTGGGTGGGGTGAGTTTGTGTTTAACAGGGTCGCTGTCAGTCCCGCGGGATGGAGGCCGCGTGGAGCGGGCGGGGCACAGAGTGAAGGGCCCATGCACGGAGCTGCCCACGTAAAAATGACTCCGATGGCCACTTGTGCAAGGTGTGTTTTACCACAATCTCACACTCCCCCCGTTAGGACGGGGGCAGAACAGCCCGATGGAAAGCCCACACAGTGAGCGCGGTCCGTGGCTGTCACCGTCCCGGCGGGCCCTCAGGGCCCGTGTCCAGAGAGGGGCGGTCCCTCGCCGATGCCCCACCGCGAGCGGGCTAGCCGGGCTGGGCCTCGGTGCCCATCTGCAGAGCACAGGGCCTTCCGCCCAGGCGCGGCGGGCACCGGTCGGCCTCCTCGGGCTGCGGTCAGCCTCCTCGGGCTGTGGTCGGCCTCCTTAGGCACCGGTCAGCTTCCTCGGGCTGCGGTCGGCCTCCTTAGGCACCGGTCAGCTTCCTCGGGCTGCGGTC